TCTTTAAATCTTAGATCAAAGGTGTCAAGTATATGTCTATGTCATTCCCTGGTTGTTTAGGCCCAAAAATTAACATAGATAACATCATGTACTTATGCTTCATACATAGCCATAGAGGTAGGTTATAAATCATAAGAATCATAGGCCATGTGGTATGTGAGATACTTTGAAGACCATGCGGGTTCATTCCATCAGTAGATAAATCCAAGCGAAGGTTTCTTGCTTCTTCTCCAAAATCAAGATAATCATTATCAATTTTCAACCACTGTGGTGAATCTGTTGGATGTCGATACTTGCCATTAATAATTCTTTCATCTGCATGCCAAGTCAGGTGTCTCGCATCGGTTTCACTATGAAACATGCGCCTAAATCTCGGAATTATAGGAAAATAGCATAAGACTTTTTCTAGAGACAATATTTTCTTATATCGAGACAAACCACAATTAGGGCACTCATTTAATGATGCATATTTGTTTCGAAACAAAATGCAATCGTTTGGACAAGCATGTATCTTATCATAGCTCATGCCTATAGAGAACAATGTTTTTTTGGCCTCATAGGTTCGATTAGGAAGAACATTATCCTCCAGAAGCATATCTCTCATAAGGGCTAATAACTCTGAAACTTTTATCTAACCATCCATTGCCCGCCTTTAAGTTGTACAACTTTAATACCGCAAACAGTCTTGTGAACTTAGTGCAACCTTTATACAACGGTTTCTCTGCATCGCTTACCAATCTCTCAAACATTTTGGGACAATCCTGAAGATCTTCTTCAAGTGCATCTACAATCTCTTCTACTCGATCAAAATTGTATGTATCTGTGTCCTTGTCGTCTGAAGCATAGGTCGTACTACTTTTCTCTCCCGGTTCAACATTGTCGTTACTTTTTTCACCGTGAAATATCCAACACGTATAACTTCTATCAATTCCACGCATTAGTAAATGCAATTTCAATCCATCCGCGTCAACCTGACCCACATAACAACAACCCAAGCAAGGACACTTCATTCGACTGGGGTCTTTGGCGTGTTCAACGACAAACTTAACAAATTCCAATACCCCATTCTTGTACTCTTTTGATAATCGATCGGGAGACATCCATTTTTTATCTATTTTTTTCTACTAATTCAAGTAAACAAAAACACTATAAACAAATTATTCCCTTTTTGTATGAATTAAACGAATTATTTCTAGAAATTTATTTCTAGAGTTATTAACATGGACTAAAATAAATATATCTATATAAAAATAATTGTGTTTTTTAATTGATCGATACAGATAGAATTTGAAATTGACTTACCAAAGAAAGAAAAGGGGTTATTGGTGTCGACGACGGATGATGCGACTTTGATGTTCTTCGAATCGGTGATGGTCTTCGACTAACTACACCAATACAAAGGGATCATCAAAAACAAGTTGTATATATAAGGCTATAATAGCTTAAATCCACAAACCTTAAGAATTTGTTCTTAGACAAGTTTTTTGTGAAAAATTGTATGAGAAACAAATCACTTATGAATCTTTTCTATCATATTATATTTCTTTCCAACAAAAACATAATATTTAGGAGTAATAATGCTTAAACCATTCTGAAATTTATATCAGTAAAATATTATTAAATATAAATAAACCAAGCAACCAACAAGTAAAAAAATACTAGTTCATGGAGAATATAAACATGATAAACAATTCAGAAACCAATTAAAATAACAAAAAAACCATCATCATCTTTTTTATTCCAAAACAATGAACCAAAAGAAAAACATTCAGAAAGTTCTTACTTAATAATCATATACACATACATAGAGAGAGTGATAGATAAATTATAATATATAACATTACTTCCTCTTCTGAATTCTCATCACATTTGATCACAAACTAACAAAGATGATACAAAATCCAATAATGCATGACAATAATACAAAATGCAATAATGAAACATACAGAAACCGAATCCAAACTTCAAAAACAATAATATCTTAGAAGTGTTGCTGAATGTGTAATAATGCTAAAATACAGAAAATGCAATAATGCTAAAAGTGTTGCTGTTATCAAGCCCTACCAAGAACCGAAAAATCAAAATGCATACCTATAACTCAGTTATGCATATCTATAACTCAGTTTGGACATCAATAGGAGGATAATGTCTTAAATGTTAGCATAGTACACTATCAATAGGAGGATAACTCAGTTTGGACATCAATGGAGATATAAACATTTTCAAGAAAGAACCTACCTTGAGAACCAACCGGTGCGGGTGGAGGAGAATCGAGAGAGACGGTGGAGGACGGAGGGAAAGAGCTGGTTGGACAACGACGATTTGTGAGAGGGAAAGGGTTTCTGTTTGTGAGAATGAGAGGGAAAGGGTTTTCGTGTTCGTGAGTATAAAAGAGAAACAATACACTGATTCTATTTTTTGATTTCAATTTATATGGCTTTAGACAACGATGACTAATATGGGCCTTTAGCAGCGCTTTTGAAAAGTGATGGCTAATAGGGTCCTTTAGCAGCGCTTTTGATATATTTTTTTAATTTTATATGACTTTAGACAACACTTTTTAAAAGTGCTGTCTAAAGTGGTCCTTTACCAGCGCTTTTGATAAAGCGCTTTCCAAAGCAACACTTTTAGAAGCGCTTTTTAAAAGCGTTGTCTAAGGTCACATTTTTAGCAGCGCTTTTATTTATTATTGTATACAATTTTCGTGTTTTTTTTAAATTCACTTATAGCAGCGCTTTTGTATAAAAGCGCTGTCTAATGTACACTGTTAAAATTATTTTTGGCGTAGTGTTCACAAGGATCTCTTGGACATGATCGGGGACAGGTGCAACAATTTCATGAATATCAAAGGGAAAGAAGAGTTGTTTGAACTCAGGTATAAGTGTGTATCATTTGGGAAAGGTTTTCAGAGTTGAAATACTGAGAGGAGAATTCCCGTAATTATAACCAAAGGAAATTTTGGTTGTGTATAAGGGCGGATTCTGACATTATAAATTAGTGTGATTAAATATTAAAGAAATTATAATTGTATTATATTAAAAATAAAAAACAATATTATTTAATATAATATATTTATAATGAAATCGTCTATTAAATAGGATGGATTAGTAAATATGAGTGAGAGAGAAATTTGAGAATTAGTGACAATGTTTAAAAAATTGAAGTGAACTTGTCTGTTAATATCGAGAATCCAAAAGATCATTTGTCTGCTTTTATTGTTGGATCGAATAAGTTATTGAATCAAGTTATTAAATCAGTGAAACAAATCAAACCCGACCAAAATCGGTGAAAAAATGGCAAACTAGGTTTTGAAAAATTAACGAGTTAAATGTTTGTTTTTTTCCTCTCAGACAAAACAACTTTATTCTGATAATTTGTATAGAAAAATTAAAATTAAAATATACTTTGCTAAAAACTTATTAAGAACACATTTCCCTCTTTAAAATTAAATTTATTGGACATTACAGTTATTTTGTTATTCAATTTATTTTGTAATTAGACTCTGTTTAAATTTATTTGAATTTATATTTTGTACTATTTTATTGTGTATGTGATGATTATATTTAGAATTTAAATTTAAAGAATAAATCTATAAAGTTATGATATTTTAAAATTTGATAAGTGTTGTGATTTTTTAGAGACTGAGCTATCTGATATTTTGTTATTGAGACTGATTTATTCAACTTAATTATTAAATTTAATTCGATTTAATCATGTGGTTTAATCAATAAAGCAGTAACTCAATACTCTTAGGTCTCGTTTGATGTGCAAGAAATAATAGAGACATGATAGAATATAAAGTAGGATAAAAATATGATAGGATATAGACATGATAAGACTATCCTACCATGTGTTTGGCTCACACAGGATACCTATATGACAAATTTACCCTTATAAAACAACTACATTTTTTAAAAATTATTTATAAAATATTTTAAAATTTATAAATTGATAAAAAATTGAGTAAATAATTTTAATTTTTCTTAAAAAATATCATATGTAAACATTACAAGAAAATATATTTAATTTGATAAAAACTAAAATTAGTATACATATTTTTAATACTTTAATAATTATTTTATTTTTAAATATTCTAATATATTAGATTTTAATTTTTTTTATATTATATAAAGTTAAAAAATTCCCTTATGACAATCATACATATTTTTCAAAAAAGATATTTATTTATATTTTAAATTTAATATTAAATTATTTTTTATTTACCTTTTATCATATTTAATTTTTTATTTTAAATTATATTTTATAGAAATAAATTTATAAATTATTTTCTTATCTTATCCTTCCAGATTCTAACCCATCTCATATTCAGGATAACAATTTGAACTAGTGAGACAAAATATGATTAGTTTCAGGATTAACTTACCATATCCTATTGTGTCATGAAACACTAGATTGAGATAAGATATGATACATATATCATATCCTGTATTTTATCTTGTGCATCAAACAAGCCTTTATTGATTTAATGATCAGTCCAATTTTAAAAAAAAAAATGGTGTGGCTTTAACCATAGTAAACCTTAACATACATTCGCCCCGATTGTGTATTAAGAATTCATTGCAATTTATAAGTATCGAGGTTCTAAACGCAACTGACACCGTCATATGAGTTGTTGAAGAGAAATCTCGAAGTTGTGCTATAACTTGAAACTTAAAGAAATTTGACGACAAGAATTAACCTATGTTGTTATTAAGATAGTTAATTATTTGGTTAATTTTTGTAATTAATTGCTTAATTAGCTGACATTTTAGTTTCCCTCTCTTTTAATTTTGAATTTGTATAAGAATTCACTCTCTCCTCATTTATGTGGTTGAGTTCATTTCTCTTTCAATAATGAATACTATCTTCTTCTCCTACCTTCTTTTTCTTGATTTTAGTTTCTTTATGATTAACTGCAATTATCTCAATATGGTATCATTCTTCATTTGATCCATCTTCCACAACCGTTTCTCTAACCTTTTCTCCCTTTCTTCTTCATCATGGCGCCGCCTCGGGTTCAACCTCCAGATCCAATTTCCTATCCAAACTCGTCGTATTTCGTCCATCCCAACGACGGTCCCGGCTCAGTCACGGTTTCTCCAAAACTTACCGGCTCCAACTACCATTCTTGGGCGTGTTCTATGAAGAGAGCTCTCGGTGGCAAGTTAAATCTTGAATTCATTAATGGAAGTCTTCCTCCTCCGATTGACGCATTCAATCCTTCGTTTCGAGCCTGAAATTGCTACAACATGATGACACATTCTTTGATAATGAACTCTGTTTCTGATTTTATCACTCAATCAATCATTTTCATGGAAAATGTCATTGATGTATGGAATGACCTCAAAGAACACTTTTCACAAGGTGATCTCATTCGTATCTCTGAATTACAACAAGAAAATTTTAATCTAAAGCAAGAAGAAAAATCCATAACTGATTTCTTTTTTGACCTAAAGATTCTTTGGGAAGAAATCTATTTATATCTGCCTTTACCTATGTGTACTTGTTGTATTCAATGCACAAACTATTGCATATCATTAGGTTTTTGACTGGCTTTAATGATAATTTTACTGTGGTTAAATCTTATATCCTGTTAATGGAACCTTTGCCTCCTCTTAATAAGATCTTTTCCATGGTTATTCAACATGAAAGGAAAAATCAGACACATGTTCCTAATGATGAATCTCAATCATTGATTAATGCTTCTAACTCCAAAAGGTCTTCTTCTAAGTACAATTCCTCCAAGGCTGGTGCTCGTGTATGTACTTTTATGGTAAAACCAATCATACTGTTGAGAATTGCTTCAAGAAACATGGAGTTCCACCACATGGAGAAACAAATTTCCAATTCTGTCATTAATGCTAGCTCTGAAGGAGGAGACCTAGGATCTACTTCAACTTGTCCTGACATGAAGAGTGGTAATTCACCCATGATTCAGGACCAATTTATTGCTTTGATGGATTTGATTCAGAAGTCTGGCCTTAACCAAGTTGCAGGGAATGCCTCTTTTAATCAAGTAGTTGCTTCTCATTCATCAGCAGATAATGTCCAACTTCCTTCATTCCTTCATAACCCTAGTTCTTGGATAATCGATTCAGGTGCTAGTGATCATATATGTTTATCTTCCCATTGGTTTCAAAGCTATATTGATATTCATCCTATTAATGTTAGATTACCCAATGGTCATTCCTTACTTGTCAAGTATTCTGACACTGTCAAATTTTCCCCTGATTTTTCCGTGTCCAATGTTTTGCTCATTCCTGAATTTTCTTTGAATTTATTGTCTGTCTCAAAGTTGTGTGAAAATTAAAATTGTAATGTCAAGTTTTCTGGCTCACATTGCTATATTCAGGACACCACATCAATGAAAATGACTGGTTTAGCTAAAAGGAGGGATGCCTTGTATTACTTAAATTTAGGAGATAAGCCTTTTCTTAATCATACTAATAATGTTTCTGCCAATTTTGTTTCATTACCGGATAAAGCCTTATGACATTTTAGGTTAGGACATTTGTCTCAAAATAGATTATCTGCTTTACATTCCATGTATCCCTTCATTGTTGTTAATAATAAAGATGTTTGTGATATTTGTTACTATGCCAGGAAAAGAAAAATTCTTATACTGTTAATACAAATAGAGCCTTGCATCCCTATGACATGATTCATTTTGATATATAGGGACCATCCGCTGTCAAATCTTTACATGGCCACTCTTATTTCCTCACTGCAGTTGATGACTGCAATAGATATACCTGAATAACTTTAATGAAAACCAAATTTGAGGCAAGACACCATGTCATTAATTTTGTTAAGCTAGTTGAAAAACAACATGTTAAGGTCAAAACTATTAGAACTGAGAATGGCCTTGAGTTTAATACTCCTGATATTTAGGCCACCAATGGTATTGTTCATCAGACCAGTTGTGTAGAATCTCCACAAAAAAATGGTAGAGTGGAGAGGAAACATCAACATATTTTAAATGTTTGTAGAGCCTTACTATTTCAGTCTAAAATTCCTAAAAGATTCTGGTCATATGCTCTCTTACATGCTACATTTATCATAAATAAGATATCTACCCATGTTCTTAACAATCAATCACCTCATTTTGTTTTACATCATGAAATTTCTGATATCCAATCCCTTAAAATTTTTGGTTCATTGGCTTATGCCTCACACTTCAAATACACAAAACCAAACTTGAGCCACTAAGTAGAAAGTGCATCTTCTTGGATACAAAAATGGTATGAAAGGTGTTGTTTTGTATGATATGCAAAATCATGATGTTTTCATTTCTAGAAATGTCACCCATCATGAACATATATTTCCTTATTCAGGGGAACATCATCTTTCTTGGGATTATCACATACACACTGAACCTAAATCTCATTCTGATGACTTAAATCAAAATCACAATACATCTGCTCCTTTCTCTCAAGACAATCATAATAATTGTGACAATTTACCCCAAAACATAGACACCACTAACACTATTGAACAAAATACAGATAACACTGACATTGTTGAACATATAGATGAATCTGTTAGTAGCAGATCTGTTAGAAATAATCATACACCTGCTTATCTTTCAGATTATGTTTGCAATTCTTCTCTTAATTCTGCTGACAGATCCTATCATACTGATGCTAACATTCTTTACCCTATCTCTTCATTTGATTCTTTGTCCAATCTATCTGTGTCTCATTGTGTCTTCACCACTTCCATCTCACATAATATTTAACCAAAGAATTACAAAGAAGCTTGCTTATCTGAAAATTGGCTTAAGGCTATGGCATCTGAATTAAAAGCATTACATAAGAATAGGACTTGGAACATAGTTGATCTACCACCTCATGTTAAGCCTATAGGAAGTAGATGGGTTTATAAAATTAAGCACAAGGCTGATGGAACAATAGAGAGGTATAAAGCCAAGTTGGTGGCTAAAGGGTATAATCAGATTGAAGGATTATATTTTTTTGATACATTCTCTCATGTAGCAAAATTAATAAAAGTAACAACTCTTGTAGTTGTTGTTGCTATAAAAGGCTGGTTTCTACACCAACTTGATGTAAATAATGCTTTTTTGCATGGTGAGTTACAAGAAGATGTGTACATGACCATACCAGAGGGTGTCCCTTGTGATAAACCAAATCAGGTCTGCAAGTTGATGAAAAGTTTGTATGGTTTAAAGCAGGCTAGTCACAAGTGGTATGGAAAATTAACTGCTTTGCTTATTCAACAAGGTTACACACAATCTAATTCTGATTACTCCTTATTCACTCTCAAAACTTATAACACCTTTACATCTATTTTGGTTTATGTCGGTGACATGGTTTTAGCTGGTGATTCTATGGAAGAATTTGTCAAAATTAAAACCTGTTTGGACAACAATTTTAGCATCAAGGATTCGGGTTTACTGAAATATTTTTTAGGACCGTAGGTTGCTCACTCAAAAGAAGGAATTACTTTATCTCAAAGAAAGTATTGCCTTGATCTACTCCAGGAATCAGGGCTTATTGGTTATAAGCCTGCAGCTAATCCTCTTAATTCCTCAATCAAGTTACACGGTGATGGTGGTAAGTCTTTTGATGACATTGGTGCTTACAAAAGTATAATTGGTTGCCTCTTGTATCTTAATACCACGGGGCCAGATATCACATATGCTATCCAACAACTTATTCAATTTGTGCATAGTCCAACCATCATTCATTATCAAGCTGCTCCGTGTCCTGTGATACTTAAAAGGAAGCCCTGAGAGAGGTTTGTTATTCTCCAGGAATTTTGATCTGTAGATTCTTAGTTATTCAAATGCTGACTAGGCAGTGTGTCTTGATTCTTGAAAATCTATTTTTGGCTATTGTTTCTTCTTTTGCACCTCTCTCATCTCATGGCGGGAAAAGAAACAACAAACCATATTAAAATCATCATCTAAAGCTGAATACAAAGCCCTTTCTTTTGCTACTTGTGAGTTGCTTTGTATGACATTTTTATTAAAAGAGCTCCAACTCTCATGTTCCAAGCTTTCTGTCATATACTGTGACAGTCAGAGTGCTCTTTGCATTGCCTTAAATGCTGTATTTCATGAGCGCACCAAGCACTTAGAGATTGATTGTCATTTAGTTCGTGAGAAATACCAATAACGACTGCTTCGGCTGCTTCCTATCTCCACACATGAACAACTTGCAGATTTTCTCACTAAAGCCTTGTCCATAGCTGCATTCAACAAGTTCATTTTGAAGCTTGAGATGACCAACATATACCATGCTTAGCTTGAGAGAGACTGTTAAAATAGTTAATTAGTTAGTTAATTTTGTAACTAATTAGTTAATTAGCTGATATTTAAGTTTCCCGCTCTTGTCATTTTGAATTAGTATAAGAACTCACTCTCTCCTCATTTATGTGGTTGAGTTCATTCCCCCTTCAATAACAAATACTATCTTCTTCTCCTACCTTTTTTTTTCTTCTTGATTTTAGTTTCTTTATGCTTAACTGAAATTATCTCAATAGTTATTGTAGGTTGTATAAACCATAAAGCTGTACCCAATTGATCCTTCTTCTATCATAGTAACTAACAAAGAATGATGTGATCAATATCACCTACTTATATTTATAATTACGAAAGAAACTGCTACGACGAATAACTTAAATTTAGAAAAACTAAGGTATGTAAAACAAAGCAAATATATATACTATCTTCTTGTGTCAACCCTCCTAGAATTTAGCCAAAACAAATAGTAGTTTAAAAGAGTTTAATTTATATCTACATTTATAAAAATTTTAAATTTCCATACACCAAAAAAGTGTAAAACATTTTTTATAAATAAGAAGATATTTTAGAAATTAACCCTAGAAAACTACTATTATAAAGAAGTAAGAGATTAAAGATAGTGGATTGTCACTGTAATTTAGTTTTACAGTATCATTTAATATAATTATATTCTGCTATATTATATAAGTATTTTTAAATTTAAAGTGTGACTTAGTTAGATATATATCCTTGATTAATTGACAGTGTAAAAATATTTTACATGATCAATACAACTTTTTTTTTTCAAGAAGGAATAATATGAATTAGACTTTCTTCGAGAATGAGTTTTTTAATTTATTCTAAATTATAATTTTTAAATTTAATCTAATTTAATTATTAATATTTTTCTTTAATTGTAATTATGTGATCTTTTTTATCTCTGCTTTATCAAATTTATTTAATATGTTGACATCATCGGAGTATTTAAATTTA